TTTGTTTGCTTGCTTGTTAGCTGGATACATGGCCACCCAAATGAAATGAGAATTTGGTTGGTTAAAACCAGGAGGGAAATAGATATTAGGAAGGTAATAAGCAACGTCTGCCAGAGCCTAATTTTATTTTAGAACCAAAATACCTTTGGTAGGTATATAGTTCTAGGAAAGAAATGTTTTGTAGGAAAAAAAGATGAAATCTTCCAAAGGGACTTCCCTATGTGTTTGTTTAGGAAGGCAGAGAATGAAGACAGATATATAGGAAGGAGAAGGTAGAAGAACAGGAGTGGGAGAGAGGACAGGAGAATGAAATGTATAATGCAGTACTCTTCAGTGAATTTCTCCTTTAAGATGGAGCATATAAATAGTGCATATGCTGTCACTGTGAAATATCTTAATGACATCAACTAAACTATTATTATCAATTGTTTTTCAGATATAGTCATATTTGGAAATCTTTCCTGTAATAAAGCTAGAGTTGTTTTGGAAGCAATTCTTAAGAGATAGTCTTTCTAGGCAGTAGACTATGTGACTGTAAACTATTTACATATAGACATATATTCTGGTTTATGTTTTGGCTATGTGCATCATCAGCACTACTGGCATTCATTGACTTCATGAATGTTTTATGGAGAGCCTTACTTTCATACTTTTTCCATGAAAATTATTTTTGGCTCTAATAAACTATTCATTTTCCTGCCCCAGTGTTATCCTCCAAGGGATCCTACCCCACCCATCTCACATGCAGTCTTATTTCCACCCTCACCTTTGAGATCTCCTCCAATTCTTACTTACAGACAGTACATAGAACTTATTTGGTTTTCTAAATCTCATTTCCTTTTTCCTTTGCACCCACCTCAGCACCACTCCTACCTGTTTCACTACTTCCTCCCTCCCCTTATCTCACTTCAGTTTACTTGTTGCAATCATACCACATTGGGCATATTCTGAATCCCAGTTTAAATCACTGGTAATATCACACCAAGTGTTGACTTAGATTTATTTTGGAAATGCAAGAATTATGCCTAGTTTGAGATATTATGGAAACTGCTATCACATTTCAACCACCTGGGTATTCAAGGATGACAAGATTTTCTTTGCAGATTTGCTGAAATTACATCAAAGGACTGAATACATTTGCAGCTTTTTATCAGATTGAATGAATACTGTAATGACCGAATTAACCTCAGACATAAACATGATTGATGTATGCAACCTTTTTGTTTTAACTAAAAAAAGATAGCTTGATGATTGAAAATAATAGATATTAGCAAAATGCTTAGGATTTCCAGAAACTAAAACACAATCAAGTATCTAATTTACTGTGAAAAGAACTGTTAAAGGGATATGATGTTGCCTTGGTTTTTCTGAATTCAAAATCTCGGACAAGTTTAGAGATTGTAATAAATAAATACTTTAGTATTTAAGTCCATACACTTTTCTTTTGAAACTGGAAAAGAAGGCTGCTAACTATGAGATAAGACTTCTTCTACAGGAAGTAAACACACACACACACACACACACACACACACACACACATTTGAACCCTACACCATTCAACAGATACTGGCAGAATTTGTAAAGTATTCTAGGCCTGTGATCATCTTAACTAAATCTTTTCTGTAAATATTTTCTAGTCAGGTGATACTTAAAGAAGTTGATTGGTTCTGTGTTAAGGTGCCATCAATTTGTTCTGTGACATGTTACTTGTAGACTAGTATTCATTTGCCTAGTACTCAGGCAATGTAATAATGTAATAATGTAGTAATACTTTTCTTTTTTTGTGTACTGTTAGGATTTACAAATATCCTCACCAGAAATATTTAATTAGTAGTAACCTGGGGAGGTAGATATGGGCTATTTCCATTTTTCAAATAAAGAAACACTTTCCTAGGAATAGAAAATCCTAAGAAAACTAAAACATACCACAACATAGCAGCCTGGAGTCATTCAGTGTAAGCAGCTCCACACATTGAGCACTGAAGGTTGTGCTGTGCAAGGTCTTCCATACTTAACAGGATAGCCTTAGCCTTTAAGATTACTTAAAGATGATACTATATATCAATTTTAATGAAATAAATGTTAGCTCTTGTTATTATTGAGTTATATACACACATACATGTATATGAATATGTACATATGAATGTGTTGAAATCTATCAAGAAAAATTACTCACTTTTTGCTGCTTACAAAATCAAAATAATGAGACTTAAATTTAGTTTGCTTTAGTAAAGATGGATATATTTTATTTTTATTTCTAAGATTTTATTTTTTAATTTATTTAAAATTAAAGTAGTTTATAAGTTTAGGAAATAATAAAACCAATTTGAGAGTCAATAAGTACATATTTCAAAATTATGCAATTTACGTTTTAGCATCTCCTCTTTCGATAAAATTTTGGTATGGATATAAAATAATGAACAACCCAACTACAGATAACACTCTTTCAATTGCTATTCAGAATAATCTTAAAATACCTTTAACACAATACTATAGAGGGGTTTCAGTATCCTCCTTAAAAGATAAGGAAGCTGTGACACATTAAATAAGTAATTTGTTCAAAGTCATGAGTCTTGGCAGTGAAACCTGTCTGAATTCAAAGTCCATCTATTCTAGGTTGTGCAAGTGATGCTGATTTAACTTCTGTTTCCTAAAAATTGCAATACGTAGAGATAGAAAGGGTAACATTTAGATGAAAAAAACCCCACTATTTTAGCTTTTTATTATTTGGTCTCTTTTTAGAGAATCCTAAAATATGGCTGCTGGATAAGTTTACAGCATTTGACAGTTCTCTTTCAAGCCTCTTGGGGTTATGCCAAAGAGACAGAGTCCCGTGGGAATTTGGTCTGAATTCTCATCCAAATGAACACCTGCTGCCATTGTTCCTTATCAATCCTGTAGTCAGCAATGCCAACTCTCTCTTTGTGATGGAACCCATTTAACACAAGGAAAAGGCATGCCAGTGTTCCTCTGTAGTCTTTATTTTCCTTCTCTCTTTACTGTATGATCCGTTGCCCAAGTATCTTGGAGGTAGAGCTAACATTAAGTTTATCTTTGGCTATTTGGTGTTCTATATTTCTAGGAGTTTACTCAGTTATAGTCCAGTCTACTAAAATGGTCTTCTTTTGATTTTCTCTCTTCTTCCTCTTCCTCTCCTCTCCTTTCTCCCTCTTCCTCTACCCCTCTCTTTCCTTTACCTTCTCCGTCTCCTGTTTCTGTTCCTTTGGAAAGGAAGAGATTTGTTATTGTAAAAATATATGCTTGTAAAGCAAATTATATTACACAGTTTATTTTTAAAAGTCTCAGTTCTCTAAATTAGCAGAGGCAAATAATTCAAGCAGAAGTAAGTTCAATGTTAATCTCCCTATGGATAACCAATATTGATTATTCATTCCTAGTACTCAATTAATATTCCGTTGCTTTTGTTTTACTGGTCTACTGGTTGTATGCATTCAATTATAAGGTATTCTATATTGATTTTGAACCAGATTAAGGTTAAAGTAAAAATAAATGACTTTTAAAAAGTAATAAAATGATCAAGCTGCCTGATATATCATAAATAGCCCAACTCAGATTTTTTCTATAATTTCAGACCACAACAAGAAAACATCACATTCTAAAATAGGTTAATTATGACTTATTAGTGAGAATTAAAAAAAGAGGAAACTCTGTGATTGGGTTTGAGAACAATCAGACCAGTAAAAGTGAACCATCTTGATATTCCTGCTTCTAAGCAAACCAGGAAGTTGACCATGTATATATAACAAAGTTATATCTTAGAATATGAAACCGTAGAGGTTTTGTTATTGTTTTTTGGTAACTTTTTTTTTTTTTTTATAAATGTTGTTTCTATACATACCTATCTATAACTTTGTGTTCTTTTCACTTGTGAATTAATTCAATTGCTCCACAATTTTTAGAGGATAAGGTGTACAGAACAAAAATGTACTTCTATCACAGCTCTTTATTAGTCTTTTCATTTCATTCATTAGACTTTTAATCCTTGATTAGTGCTTTTGAGATTCTCTCAATTACACAACTTTTTTATTTCCTTTGTGTTTGGTTTTTCTTATTCTTTTATCTCCACTATGAAACAAAATTAACAGTTAATCACAACAATACCCCCGTTTCTATTGAGATGACTGGTAAATATATTAGTTTCTCATTGGAATGATTAATCATTAAAGTCAACAAGAACTGTTTATGCTTGAAAAGCTAGAATCTCAGTCTTCCCCTAGTCTCACATATTGAGTGTGATTCTGTCTCATGGAAACTGAATGGATTTCCTAAAAGGAAGAAACATCCATCTGAACTTGTTCAATTTGTGTCTCAGAATCTAGATACACTTTCCTCCAGTAGTCCAAAAATAAATTTTTCTCTTTGTTGTTTTTCTCCATGAAGTAAGATAAGATATATATGTCAGAAAGTTGCTTGTGGAACAAACAGTTAATAATTACACATCCAAGACACTCTTAGTAAACTTAGAAGTCATGCACTATACTTATCTTTACTAGATATGTACACTCATGCTGTTGTTGTTGTTGTTTGTTTGTTTGTTTGTTTACCATAATTAATCTCAAAGAACAAAGAGCTTCTCTATCTGATCATTTCTCCACTTAGGCCATCCTTCCAACTCTTATATGACAATATTTTCAACTACTTTTTGACATTTATGCTCGTATGTACTATCTTAAACTTACTTTGAGCTTGAGGCCAAAACCATTTATTAAAGGAGATATATAAATTAAAGAGAAATCAATTCCTAGAAGTAAATATGACAAGTGACCAATGATAAAAGGGCAACATAAATCACAATTGCACAAGATTTATGTGGATTACCCATTTTTGCCTGATTTTGGAACATCTTCTTGGCGATGATACTGTTAAGAAAAATGTTAATTTAAATATATTATCCATTAATATTTTCTCTTTTAATTTTTATTTCTACAAGATAATAGGATCATAAAATGTTCCATTTTTCTTTTCTATTTCTCTCCTAGGATGCCTCCATTGCACACAGATTCCACATCATGAGAGAAAAACATCCAGAGAAATTCAATAGTAGGTAAGATAACAAATGACCAAATTATAATGCTGGTTACTGTTGATAAATTATGTTATAAAAAGGATCACTACGCGGTATTAAATGACTGAGTAAAGCTTGGTATGTAAGTATTAAGGAAAAAGTGTAAGTGAATTCAAATTTTCCTTTTAGGTTTTTATGAGATTATAGTGGAAAATGCAATGTGGTCATCTCTACTCCATTCTCATATGGTGAAAAGAAAAATTTCAAGTATAAAGCGAAAAGAATATTTTAAAGATATTCTTAATTCTTTACATGGCTAGGTTTGTGACGGTTTGATTATTCCAAATCCCAAGAGAAAACATGGGGCTCTACGTTGATAACGTTGAGTAACTAACTGTATATTACATAGGTATAGCATAAGTCCTTTAATCTTTGTACTGTCTGCCCAATATTGGCCTCAACTAAGTTGGAATATAGACAAGGGAAATAGCAATGTTAATGTAAAGTACTTTTAAAGACTTTACCTTCAAGAAGAAAAGCCTGGTGACTAAAATTTTGCCACTATAGCAATACATGAACATTTTTCCCTTTATAATGCAGACATTGACTTTTTCTGAGAATCAGGGAAATAGGGCAAGTTTTGGCTTTTATCTTCCCCATTTCTAGAAAGAAACATGGCTATCTCCACCTCACTCCCTTGGGAAAATGGGGCAGAAGAAGTGAATTATCCTTTGCTTTAATTATATCCATTTCTACTCAGTTCATTTCACAAAGTTTCAAAATCATAATTAACAATGCAGACATTGACTTTTTCTGAGAATCAGGGAAATAGGGCAAGTTTTGGCTTTTATCTTCCCCATTTCTAGAAAGAAACATGGCTATCTCCACCTCACTCCCTTGGGAAAATGGGGCAGAAGAAGCGAATTATCCTTTGCTTCAATTATACCCATTTCTACTCAGTTCATTTCACAAAGTTTCAAAATCATAATTAGCATTTATATATGTGTGTGTATATATATGTATGTGTGTATGTGTGTGTTTATATATATGTATACAGTGATTTATATATTAATGTTCAAAGCCAAAGTCTCTGTGGGCTCTGTATTTGGCTAGGCTGACCCTGTGTCATGAATGTGACAGACCATTTATTAGACAACTGCATCTAAAAATTCTTATATTTATTTCAATTTTATCACTCACTAGTACATTGCCATAATTTCTTTCCATATAGGTTCATTAAAAATGATGTTAAATGTATTTTAGATTTTTTAATTCTAGACTTTTGTGTACTACTTTATACAAGAATCATCATAGTAAATAATTTCATGATTAGCAAAGTCCTATCTGATTTTTCATTAGATTTACCTATTTAAATGTTTTAGCAAAACATGAAAACTTATTTCCAAAATCTACAATTAGGTATTATGTTTTGACTTGAAATCTTCTTTTTACTCTACAAACCATTGATCATGATGTTGTGATTTGCTTTGACTCTCATAGCTGAGACAGCTATAAGTTTTGTTTTAAAGAAAATGAAAAAAATGTATATATATGAACATATATGTGTGTGTGTGTGTGTGTGTGTACATAATATCTTTAGAAAGGTTCACAAAAATCTTTTACCTTTGGTTCCTTCTGAAGAAGGGAAACAACTGGTTGGGGTGAAAACTAAATTTTTATTGTATGTTTTTTATAGTGTTTCAATTTTGAGCCATGCATATTACAAAATTACATTGAAAATAGTCTAATTAAAAATTTACATCTATAAGTTTTCCTTATCTAGAATAAAGAGACATTTCATTTTACAAGATTAAATTTTATTTCATGAAATGTTTGAAAACAAATCGATGTAACAATGAAATTATAGTCACTTTATGGTAGACTATGATGATACTGATGCACCTTGAATGTCCAGGAAATGAACGTATTTATTAATGTACAGAAAATCATAGTGTAGAATCAACTAGCCTATGCTTACTCAAATGCCATTCTTTGAAGCATTCATGTGTCAGTATTTATATATTACAATAGGTTTTTAAAAAATGCTGTTTGGAAAATGAAACATGCAGTCTCTCCTTTCAAGAGTTTTGTAGTTTTAAATGCTCATTAACAGCTTTAAGAAACACACAGGTGGGAAAAAGAGTTTAGTGATGTTTAAGTCATGTTTGTCCCAGACTTACTCAGCAGAGAGAGGAAGAGAGACAAAGAAAGACAGAAACAGAGAGAGGTGGTATAGAGGGCAGGAAGAAAGGAAAATTAAAAGTATCGAGAGGTGTATCAGTATATTTCTGTGATACTCAAAAAATTTGACAGCCTGCGTATAAGAATGCCAATATTTATGACCCCCTCTTTAAGTGTTAGAGGCTAACAAATTCTGTTCTCTAGTATAATTTTAATAATTCTTAATAATGAAAATGTTTATTATTCACATATATCCAGTCAATTTTTTATTATCAATTATGGTACTAATTTATGACATTCCTCACTGCCCAGCATGTGGTAAGATGCCATTTACAACAACGTGTGTGTATACCTCAATGTATTCATAAGATAGGAAACTACCTCTTATTGATACTTATTTGTAAATTTTAGGCATGATTAAATCTTGCTCATATAGTTTAAAGTAAATGTTTCATAGAAAACACCTTCTAGATTGATACAAGTCACATGTTTTTATTGGGAGTTTAAAGAATGTCGGGTGTAAAGCAGATGCTCCATGTATTATTGACCAACTGTTTTTTAAGATAACAATTTGCCCTAAAATTACACATTTTACCAAGTCAATTAGGCATATACATTTTAATCTATACTGCTATAGATTAATTCTTCACTCAGAATTGTAAGCATTTAGGTAATTCCCTCAACTATAATGAAACATATTTAGGATACGAACATTTTCTAATAAATTTCTGTAAGGAAGGCATGCCAGATATTGTGCACAAACAATTTCATATTTACATAGCCAGATTTTCAGATTTCGATATTGAGACAGGTTCAGCCATAGCACTTCTTCATATTTTCAGGAATTTGAAAATGGATTTTTGTAAGTACTTCTAATAATGATGTTTCAGATCTGATTTCTTGTCACAATAAATCATATGCCACTAATATGATCCTCTAGCATGCTCACCTTGAAATTCATTTATATTTTAAAGAACATGATGTTTCTAACATTATCTTAAGGAAATTAATTACCAAAATATATAGTTCTGCTCTCTATGCTTCTTATGACAGAAATTGAAAGAACTGAGAAAGATAATGATTTTTCCGGTGCTTAAGAGAGTGCTAGTTGAGAGATTTATATCATATTCTTTTCAAAATTTCTGTATAAATCTAAGTTAACTGTTAAAAGAGAGTATGCTGTTCAACTTTTTAATAAACATTTTAATAAACATTTCCATGTTTTAGACTCAAAACAAAATTATCCTTAAAGTATTTATGCTACTATTATTTAAAATGATTTATTATATAATATTGGAATTTAAAATTTTTATATAATTTGGCTTTTACTATGTACAATCACATTTACATTCTTATAATTCACGTACATTACGCCTCTCCTGGTTCTGTTGAGATAGATCATTTTAAGTTCTTGCTTTAAAATATATATATTGATATTAATAACTGTACATTGAAGCACTATAAATGCATCTATTAAAATTATAAGTATAAAGGCTTACAATAATTATAGGGGAAATGAAAACCTGTTTAATTCCATGAAACCTTGACAAGAACTTACAAGTAATACACAAAACTAGCTGGAGAAAAAATATTGGTGGAATTACAAAGATTCGTTAATATTGTAGTCATAGCTTGTTTTCAAAGAACCAATTCAAATTCCCGGAGAAAAAATATTGGTGGAATTACAAAGATTTGTTAATATTGTAGTCATAGCTTGTTTTCAGAGAACCAATTCAAATTCCTTATGTACAGTGCTTAATACCATTTGCTAATAAACAATGACCAGCAATATGCTACAAAGATACTATTTCATTAAATCCACACTGGTTATTTAAAAGTATCTGATCTTTAACTCCCTGAATGAAACAAAGATTGTTTTCTTTGCCCTTGTTCAGAGGTATGTTCTTTATTTCTGTACTATTTTCTGCTTTTCGTGAAAAAAAAAAAAATCTACTAGAAACTCAGATCAGTGTGTACATTTAAATAGGGCAAATTTAACTCAAAATCTACTTAATGACATCAGGTATGTCAGGTGTTGCCTTCCAAATGTGTGAAGAAAAGAAACAAAACTTGACAAATTGGTATACTAGACTGAAAATTTGATATTACTATAATAATAAACCCAGATTTTGGAATGTATGTTTTTCAAACTATCCAAGAAATTAATAGCATAAATGAATTTAGAAAATTTGCTATGACTTTACAATCCCCCTCATTCTGTGCAGTAATACTTGGTTTTCTCACCATAGGCCTTGTGGAATGGAATGAAACTCTGGGATTTTACTATCTACCTAGTACATGGAACATAATTATCATTCTACAGATGTTTGCTAAATTTATTCACTACATTATTTATTATTCAGTAGTATATTTGTCTTCTAATCAAAGTCCTAAAGTTTGGATAAAATACTGCTTTTCTGCCATTGATTTGGTTGATTATTCTACAGCTTTTAATAAGGAGCCCCTTTTACATGACAGGCAGCCATCTAAACACTGAATCAAATATCCAGGTATAGGAGGGAAATGAATTTGGAGTTACATAGAAACCTTACTTAGCTCTAGGTTCTGTAGAAGAATATAAACTAGAACGAAAGTCTACATTGTAGCAGTACAGAGCTAAGGATATTTTCTGGGGCTCTCAAGTTAAAGTGACCATTGAGCTCTGAAGGATGTATGTTCAAATAGGGTTGCTTCTATTCTCTGATTTAGCTGAAGAAACATTTCTGGTTTCTGTTTGCAAGATGCTTACATTTTATGAGTGTCATCCTATGCAAATTTTCTAAATATTTTCCTCCTTGATTTTGCCTTTCTATTCCTAGGATTTGTGTTTTTGCTTTACATGAATTTGCATGTGTTTT